ATGTAGGTCTGGGTCTTGTGATTCTCACAATATACAGCTCTTCGCTGTAGGATTTATAGTTTCTAAAATACGACCGTTTGAAGATGGCAACCGCCAAAATACTCTGACCTGTGTCAGGCTGCAGCAGCAAGTGATGTCATAGACAGGGCCTTTTGAACACCTGCTAATGTTTTATAAATGTATGGTTTTATGTAACTGTGCAACAACGTTGCAATTAAATGTGTTATATAAATGATAACAGTTACGTCGCCCACTCCAGTTGTAGACTACTGGTGGAGGCAAGAACACTTCACACAATTTCCCCAGAAATTGTAGCTTTTCTAGTTATTATTATTATTATTATTATAGCAAAATTTGCCACCCTAACTCCTCCCACAGTTTTTGCACTACATAGACAAAAATTTACCAAAACGTGCAGATTGTTCCCGATCGGATTGCTATTACTTTGTGGAACGTTTCGCCGAATGGTTCACGGAATATCGTCGTTTTTGTGGCGCAATTTGTCCCATAGGAATGAATGGCAAAGCTAGAGTGGGAGCTGCCAAAAGCTGAAAAATCAGGACATGATTTCTAAACTGCCACCACTCCCTTATTTTCAGACCCACCTACACAAATCTTATATCAAAATGTTCAGCTATCCCTGCTGCCACTAAACATGTCAACGGCTAAGCCATAGTCCTGATAGTTTTCACAATATAATAATTTGTTTGCAACTAACGCCGTCCATTGACTTTCATTGAAACTTCACTCTGCAAAGCTCAAATTTGAAGTGCAATTTCTAAACTGCGACTGTGCTTTCAATTTTAATACTTCAGAGACATACTATGCATCAAAATGTAGGTCTGGGTCTTGTGATTCTCACAATATAAAGCTCTTCACTGTAGGAGTTATAGTTTTTAAGATACGACCGTTTGAAGATGGCAACTACCAAAATACTCTGACCTGTGTCAAGCTGCAGCAGCAAGTGATGTCATAGACAGGGCCTTTTGAACACTTGCTAATGTTTTATAAATGTATGGTTTAATGTAACTGTGCAACAACGTTGCAATTAAATGTGCTATGTAAATGATAACAGTTACTCCGCCCACTCCAGTTGTAGACTACAGGTGGAGGTAAGAACACTTCACACAATTTCCCCAGAAATTGTAACTTTTCTAGTTATTAAGTGTTTGCATAGTGTACATCTCACTTAATGTTATCTCACATATATATATATATATTATAGTGTACTTGCTGCCCCAACTCCTCCTACAGTTTTACAATTACATAGACCAAAATTTGTTTCAAAAACGCGTAGAGATTTCGTTCCCATCGGATTGCTATTACTTCTGTGGAACGCTTCACGTAATGGTTCACGGAATATCGCCGCTTTTGTATGCAATTTGTCCCATAGGAATGAATGGCAAAGCTAGAGTGGGAGCTGCCAAAAGCTGAAAAATCAGGACATGATTTCTAAACTGCCACCACTCCCTCATTTTCAAGCCCACCTACACAAATCTTATATCAGCACGCACACACACATCATCCAGCACTCACACACGTCATCCAACGCGCACACACACATCATCCAGCACTCACACACATGTCATCCAACGCGCACACACACATCATCCAGCACACGCACACACTGCATTCATTATACACACTCTTCACTCACTACAAACACACTACATTCACTATACACTCACTACAAACACACTAAATTCATTATACACACTATGCATTCATTATACACACTCTGCATTCATTATACACACTCTGCACTCACTACAAAAACACTACATTCACTATACACACTGCACTCACTACAAACACACTACATTTATTATACACACTGCACTCACTACAAATACACTACATTTATTATACACACACTGCATTCATTATACACACTCTGCACTCACTACAAATACACTACAATTATTATTAAGTGTTCTTGCATAGCAAGACCACTTAATGTTATCTCACATATATATTATTATTATTATTATTATAGCAAAATTTGCCACCCTAACTCCTCCCACAATTTTTACACTACATAGACCAAAATTTACCAAAACGTGCAGATTGTTCCCGATCGGATTGCTATTACTTTGTGGAACGTTTCGCCGAATGGTTCACGGAATATCGTCGTTCTTGTGGCTAAATTTGTCCCATAGGAATGAATGGCAAAGCTAGAGTGGGAGCTGGCAAAAGCTGAAAAATCAGGACATGATTTCTAAACTGCCACCACTCCCTTATTTTCAGGCCCACCTACACAAATCTTATATCAAAACGTTCAGCTATCCCTGCTGCCACTAAACATGTCAACGGCTAAGCCGTAGTCCTGATAGTTTTCACAATATGACCATTTGTTTGCAACCAACGCCGTCCATTGACATTCATTGAAACTTCACTCTGCAAAGCTCAAATTTGAAGTGCAATTTCTAAACTGCGACTGTGCCTTCAATTTTAATACTTCAGAGACATACTATGCATCAAAATGTAGGTCTGGGTCTTGTGATTCTCACAATATAAAGCTCTTCACTGTAGGAGTTATAGTTTTTAAGATACGACCGTTTGAAGATGGCAACCACCAAAATACTCTGACCTGTGTCAAGCTGCAGCAGCAAGTGATGTCATAGACAGGGCCTTTTGAACACCTGCTAATGTTTTTATAAATGTATGGTTTAATGTAACTGTGCAACAACGTTGCAATTAAATGTGCTATGTAAATGATAACAGTTACTCCGCCCACTCCAGTTGTAGACTCCTGGTGGAGGCAAGAACACTTCACACAATTTCCCCTGAAATTGTAACTTTTCTAGTTCACACTGCATTCACTACAAACACACTACATTCATTATACACGCACTGCACTATATGCATAGGAGTGTAATTTTTTTAATTTTTTTTTTAAGGGGAGGGGGGGAAGGCGGGTATCTTGGGTGAGTTCCCACACTTTTTTCCCCAGGACTTGACCCCTGCCTATACCTAACTATATTTCCCCCAACAGCACAACCTCCTCTATTTTATGTTCACTCTCACCCTCTACACTAACTCTGCTTCAGACCTCAAGCCCCACCACTTGCTCCCTTGATCCAATACCCTAACTCAGCTCTGTCTCCTTCTATGGCTCTGCCACTCACTAAAATATTAAATCTCTCCCTCTCCTCTGGTATATTTCCTTTACCCTTCAAGCACGGAACCATCACCCAAATTCTAAAAAAGACCAATCTTGACCAATCTCTTCCCATTGAACTAGCACCCTATTTAGTTACTACTGTTTGCTTCAAAGATTTGTGTACGGTACACTGACCAACTTCCTTGAATTCAACTCTCTGCATGACCCACTTAAATCTAGACTCTGTGCTCGTCACTCTGTTGAAACTGCCAAGACCAGAATATCCAATGATTTAATTGTTGCTAAATCCATTGGTTGAGACTCTCTCCTAATTCTCCTTTACCTTTCTGCTGCTTTTAACCTTGTTGATCATCAACAACTTCTTCTCATCCTCCGTAACATGGGTCTATGAGACTCTGCACGTTCGTGGTTCTTCCCCTACACCTCTCTCAGTGCTCTTTCAGTATTTCTGCTATATAGAGATGTTGTGTTTTGGTTTACATACTCATTAGTAGAGCATAAGCATTGCAGCATCTGAGTCTTGGACCCAGGCAGAACAATGTCTTGGGCAGGCCCTGGTTATAAGGTACGGTCAGGCTCCCCTCAAGCCTGTCACTTTATGTAACGTGTATGTAACGTGGATGATCGGACCGCAGGTAGAGAGTGGATCTTGGGTGAGTTCCCCAGGACTTGACCCCAGTGCCCACTTATTGCTGACAGGTCTTCATCAGCAGCTTAGTAATGTATAAATAGCTGCTTCTTGCTGTATTCTTGCTAATGAGCTGGGTTTTCCTGGATCTGGCCTACGAGCTGTGATTGCTGTATTTTCAGAGGGTTATTTACAATCCCCATTCTACATACTACATACTGAAACTCAACACACACAATGTCCTTACAAATTCATGTGTTAGAACTTACCATATAGGAGAGACAGATAGACAGAAAGAGAGAAGAGAGAGACAAAGAGAAATATTGTACTCATGTTGTATTCAAATCATTCTGTCTTTCATTCCTTTTGTTTGTATTAAGAAGTGAGAAGCTCAGAGATATCCATGGGACAGTTTGTGACAGTTTGTTCTGATTCTATATATTACTTGTATTTCCTGGGTCGCTCTGATAAATACAGTGTCACGGCACTAGCAGTTTGTTTAAATTTCCAGCTGTCCATCTGGTGTCAGGGGTATTGTACGTACTCAATTCTTTGGGCATCATGTGTCATCGGTCTGTCCATCAGTTTGTTTATCCATCTTTCTGTTTGTCTGTCATTTTATTTGTATAATTCTTCATTTTGCAATGTGAAGGACTTAAACAGTAAATGTTGTTTCTTGATTGTATTTTGTATGATATCCCTTGTAGATCATGCGATACAATCATTGGGCATTAAACTAACTGACAATCGACGTTAAACCCAATCCCCCTATGGTCACCAAGCTATGAGATTCTCCATGCTACAAGGAGAAGGGCCACAGTATTCCAAGACCATTTTATTAACTAGAAACACACTGATGTCATATCATCGCTGGGAACTCGGTCTTCAAAGCAAGACACAAGTTTAACCACTCTTTGGGGAAATTCCTGGCATTCCATATACACTAATTCCCACTACTAATTGGCATTCACCCTGTAAGGTCAGAAGCTGCTTCCCTCTCATTCCAAGGCTTTTCCCAATCATTCGCATATGGAAAACA